TAATATGCAAAATATTATTAATAAATGCAAATATACAATATAGTATATTACTAAATTATACTTATATACTTTTCTAACATTTCTTAGTGGTCTTCTACGCCACCTATGAGGTGCCACTAATAGCGCCTTAGATTTTTACGTGGACCTTCGCTTGTAGCCTTATTTTACCACATTTTTTTGTATATCTGTTACATACACATGTGATTATATTCTATATTTTGATTCTATTCTTTTTGTATCTATTCTATATTTTAAAGAAAAGACAAATAGCTCCAGAGATTCTCAAATTTAAGATAAGAGGCAGTTGAAGCAAGACACGGATGTTGTTGTGCAAACAGGTAAAGGTGATTTTTATTTCACCATGTAATGTGTATGTATAACGTGATAACGTTTTGACTATTAAGTTAGATCTTTATCAGAATCTTTCTACAAATTTACTATAAAAACAATAGATTTCAAAGAACAAAAATAATTTTAACTACGAAATACGCAATGCAAAATTGATATGTATACTTACAGTAATATGCTGTTACTAAAGTTGTCGTGTAATGAGATAAGGATACATGTTAACACGTGAGCTGTCAATTGCTGATTGAATTTCAAAAAATACATCAAGATGAACAGTAAATTCAGAGATCAAAGCATGCGCAAAGGAAAGTTTAAGCTGTATTAACGACAAACGGTAAATATGATTTATCAAGATTCTCCGTGTCACTATGCAAATTGAGACCGTGTGTTTATTTCTTGATGTATAGTGTTTCNGACATTAATCGCTTATGATAGTGTTTTTCATCCAGAATCTTGACATTTTCCCACGAGAAATCGTGAGAATAATTACTTCTGTGATCAGTGATAACAGAGGTTTGTGTAGTGTTACGTTTAAAGTGATTTTTGTGTTCGTTGATTCTGGACTGCAAAACTTTACCAGTCTGGCCTACATAGGAAGCCTCACAATCATTGCAGTTAATTTTATAAACAACAAAAGGACAAGAAAGGGGAGGTAAAGGATCTTTTTGTACTTTAATGAACTTGGACAATTTATTAAGATTGTAGAAAGCAAGTTGTGTGTCAGTCTTTTTGGAAAAGGTTGACGAAAATTTTTCAGAGAAATTATATATATAAGGCATCACAAACCAAGGAGGAGGTTTTTCGTCAAGGATGTTATTAGTCAAAANGGTCTTTAAATCATTATTCTTTAAGAAATTGTTTTTTAGTCTTTTTTTAAAACTATTATAAATAAAGTCAAGAAGGTAATTATTGTCAATGAATATGTTAATAATGTAGTCAAAGTTTTTATTATGAAAGTCAGGATGGGATATTTTACGGCTCTTAAATTTGTGTACAATTCTACTTTCTTTAGTTTTAATAACCATTTTTATAAACAGACCTTTGGCGCACCGATGGATTTCCTGTCTCCCCCATTTTAGCTGACATTGTCATGCAAGACCTCGAACAGAACATCATCAATTCTTTGCCTTTCCAACTTCTTTTCTATGTTCCATATGTAGACGATATAGCTTTAATGGTTCCTGGTGACATGTTTGACTTAGTTTTTCATCTTTTTAATTCCTACCATTCTCGTCTTCAATTCACCATAGAAGTAGGTCATAACAAACTGAATTTTCTGGACATCACTATAATTAAGAGAAATAATTTTTTAATACATGACTGGTATCATAAACCGACTTTTTCTGGCAGATATCTTAATTTCTATTCCAACCATTCAATTAGCCAGAAAAAAAGGCACAATGATAGGTCTTATCGATAGAGCCGTCTGTTTATCCCGACTTTCATAATAAAAACTTTGACTACATTATTAACATATTCATTGACAATAATTACCTTCTTGACTTTATTTATAATAGTTTTAAAAAAAGACTAAAAAACAATTTCTTAAAGAATAATGATTTAAAGACCNTTTTGACTAATAACATCCTTGACGAAAAACCTCCTCCTTGGTTTGTGATGCCTTATATATATAATTTCTCTGAAAAATTTTCGTCAACCTTTTCCAAAAAGACTGACACACAACTTGCTTTCTACAGTCTTAATAAATTGTCCAAGTTCATTAAAGTACAAAAAGATCCTTTACCTCCCCTTTCTTGTCCTTTTGTTGTTTATAAAATTAACTGCAATGATTGTGAGGCTTCCTATGTAGGCCAGACTGGTAAAGTTTTGCAGTCCAGAATCAACGAACACAAAAATCANTTTAAACGTAACACTACACAAACCTCTGTTATCACTGATCACAGAAGTAATTATTCTCACGATTTCTCGTGGGAAAATGTCAAGATTCTGGATGAAAAACACTATCATAAGCGATTAATGTCNGAAACACTATACATCAAGAAATAAACACACGGTCTCAATTTGCATAGTGACACGGAGAATCTTGATAAATCATATTTACCGTTTGTCGTTAATACAGCTTAAACTTTCCTTTGCGCATGCTTTGACCTCTGAATTTACTGTTCATCTTGATGTATTTTTTGAAATTCAATCAGCAATTGACAGCTCACGTGTTAACATGTATTTTTATCCCATTACACGACAACTTTAGTAACAGCATTTTACTGTAAGTATACATATCAACTTTGCATTGCGTATTTTGTAGTTAAAATAATTTTTGTTCTTTGTAATCTATTGTTTTTATATTGAATTTGTAGAAAGATTTTGATAAAGATCTAAACTAATAATCAAAACGTTATCACGTTATACATACACATTACATGTTGAAATAAAAATCACCTTTACCTGTTTGCACAACAACATCCGTGTCTTGCTTCAACTGCCTCTTATCTTGAATTTTATATTCTATATGTTTCTATATTAAACGAACTTCTAAATAACATACTATACTAATTACTATAAGAATATACTATACTAATATAATAATATATTATACTAAGGACTCTTCTATAGATAAAACGCGATAACTCGTGCGAGAAGCGACGCGATAGCCAACTAATGCTGCTTTTCCGTTAAAGCAAAATATTGATTTGTCATCGCGTCGTTTCTAGTCGCGTAGCGTGTTGCCGCGTTTTGTCCGTAGAAGCCTTTGCTACACTACTTGACTGTACGGGGAAAAATGGATTACATTTAAGTAGATGTAATTTATATCGAAGAAGATAAAAAAATGGAAAAATATAATAAATGTAATATACAATAAATCTAATTAGATCAAAATTAGATCTAAATAGTTATACAATACATCTAGGTATAAATAGATCTATGTAAATGTACACTTTACTTATCATTATATCTACTTTAGTTCTACTCAGATTTGCTATATTACATTTCTCCAATCTGCTTAATTTTAGGTAGAGATGCTTAGATCTAATATAATAAATCTGAAATCTACTACACATCTACAATAGATCTATTGATTACTAAAGTGTAAATTTACATAGATCTCTCTTTCACTCTCTCTCTCTCTCTTGCTCTCTCTCTCTCTCTCTCTCTTTCTTTTTCTCTTTCTCTCTCTCTCTCTTTACTTATATCTAATTAGATTTACTTTATATCTATTTAGATCTTTGTGACCTATAAAATAATTGCATGTATTTTTTTATTTTTTTATCTCATTATATTTAAATTAGATCTATTTTGATTTAATTGATTTTTTTCTGGGTATTAAGCGTTTAAATTTAAAAATTGCAATGGCATAATTTTTTTATGAGAGCTGCAACCTGTATCCTTATTTTAAGCATTATTTTTCAATTCGGCCAATTTTTTTGAGTGTTATACTTTTCAAAACAATATTGTACTCGAGTTACTTCAGTTATATAAAAGAAATTATTTAACAAAATTAATGTTGTCCAAAATGTTTTGATTGATTTGTAAAGAAGAAGGTTAAAAGATACTACGTACAGACGGCGTCATTAATTCGAAGAATAGGCGCGGGGATCACATAAAAAGTCCAGTTGATCCAAATATCCATTAGTCCCAAAATCGGGTGTCCAGTTGTGGACACCCGATTGCTACTAGTTAGTTGGTACGGCGTCTGTTGGCGCTACGAGCAACCGCCCCGCTTGTTCTCCGATCCCCGCGCCTATTCTTCGAATTAATGACGCCGTCTGTACATTTGCTTGGAATTATGTTGTAATTTTAACATAAACGACCTTAGGTTGCAGATGAAAGGTACCAAAAAAATATGTGCAGTTTAAAAGTTAATAATATATTTTTATTTTTTATAATATTAATTTGTTTTTTTGTATATTAATACTTATAAGTAATTTTTAATACATACAATAATTTTTTATATAGGTAACGCCTTCTCTTCCTTTTCTTCCTCCTCTTTCTTTTCTTCTTCTTTTTCCTTTTCTTCCTCTTCTTCCTATGCCTTCTCCTCTACTTCTTCTTTCTACCTCAAAAGCATACGAGGTGCTTTGAGCCTGAGCAGTCCGCTGGCGGTACCAGTGGGCCTTACTTTGCTTAACTCCTCTTTTTTTCTTTTCTACGGATAAAATAAATACAAATAGTAATCACTACAATGTTACAATTATTGTATTTAATAAACAACACTGTTGTTGTAGAAAATTAATAACGTACTTTTTATTTCCGAGTGCTTTTCCCGCTGTTGTTCTTGCTCCTGTTGTTGCTGGGATTGTTGCTGCTGGTGCTGCCTTTGCAACTGCAACAGTTGCTGCTACAATTGCAACTGCTGCTTCTCCGCCGTTTTCAGTCGTTTCTGCTGTTCTTGCAGTTGTTGCTGCTGCTGCTGCAACTGTTGCTGTTGCTGTTTTATAATTTACAGCATGTTACCATTTTGTGTGTATTTTGTTAAAATACTAAAAAATTATATTGTAAAAATCAGTATATATTAGGTGAAGTAAAAAGTTCTGAGCGTTTTCCGCTAGATGTCTTTAGTGAGCCATATCTCACGATGTATACATCGCATCGGGTCATACGATACGGCAATTGAAAGGTGACATTACGCTTCAAAAAAGTTCTGTGACAGTTTTGTGTTTGGTCAAGCCAGTTGTGTGTTACAGCGTTCCAAAATGGAGGTAAAAAAAGAGAAAATTCGATACATTCTTCAGTATCACTACGACCAAGGTGAAAAGGCAGAGCAGGCGGCCAAAAAAATTTGTGCTGTTTATGGACCCAATACAGTATCAAATGCAACAGCAAAGCGGTGGTTTCAACGATTCCGTTCTGGTAATATGGACGTCGAAGATGAGGCATGCTCTGATAGGCCAATCGTCGAAAATGTCGATAAAATCATGGAAATCGTCGAGTCGGACCGGCATGTGAGCACTTATTTCATTGCCCAGGAACTGAAAATTAACCAGAAAATTGTTTGGAACCATTTGCATAAGGCTGGTCTCAAGAAGAAACTTGATGTATGGGTGCCACACGAATTGACGCAAAAGAACCTTTTGGACCGAATTGATGCCTGCGATTCTTTGCTGAAACGTAACGAAATCGACCCATTTTTGAAGCGGATGGTAACTGGTGATGAAAAATGGGTTACATACGAGAAAAACAGCCGAAAAATATTGTGGTCTAATCGCGGTGAGCCGGCCCAAACGATTGCCAAGCCCGGATTAACGGCCAAGAAGGTTTTGCTGTGTGTTTGGTGGGATTGGAAAGGAATCATCCACTATGAGCTGCTCCCATCGGGCCAAACACTCAATTCGGACCTCTATTGTCAACAACTGACCAGATTGAAGCAGGCGATCGACCAGAAGCGGCCAGAATTTGCCAATAGGAAGAATGTTGTGTTCTATCAAGACAACACTAGGCCACACACATCATTAACGACGCGCCAGAAGCTCCGAGAGCTTGGATGGGAGGTTCTATTGCACCCGCCGTATAGTCCAGACATGGCACCAAGCGATTATCACCTTTTCAAGCATTTGCAAATTTTTCTTGATGGTACAAAACTGGCCTCAAGAGAGGCTTGTGAAAATGAGCTGGTCAAGTTTTTTACCAATAGAGACGAGGACTTCTTCAATCGCGGAATTATGAAATTGCCTTCAAAATGGACAAAAGTTATCGAACAAAACAGCGCATATTTGATCTAAATCGGATAATCCTATGTTAATTTTATCGTCAAAATAACGCAAAAAAACGGTCAGAACTTTTTACTTCACCTAATATTTATGACAAAATTTATTTTTTGTTCTATATTACAACTGACGTTAACCTTTATGCTGCCGGGATTTAAAGAGCATTATGTCCCTTAGAAAATTCTCAAATTTTGTGGTTGTATCTTTTATATAACTTATATAAAGTTGCGATCATGGGTAGGGTCTATATATAGACCCTCCGGCAGCGTATTGGACCGGAGAAAATTAAAAAATTTTATTTTGTTTAAAAATCCATTTTTTAGGTTTTGAAAGGCCAATAAAAACGATAATAAAGTTAGTTTTTAAGTACAGTAACTTTTTAGGGCTGTATGACTCTCCTTCAGCGTTACCCCGCCAATGGCAGGGACGTAGATAGATATTGTGGCTCCAATTTTTTTTTTTTCATTTTTTTGTTCTTGTTTAGTTTAGTTTTGTTTTTATTATGTTTTTTTGTTATTCATTTTTAAATTTATTTTTAAATTTTGAAATTTTTTTTTGAATTTTTTTTTTTTTTTTAAATTATTTTTGAGAAATCTTTCTATGATAATTCGGATTTGGTATGATACGTCTCACGGTATAATATATAGAGTTTCGTGACAGGTATTGCATTTACACTTAGAACGTCGTTTTATTTTTTTTATAGCGCACAGGTTACACTTACGCTGTAGAATTGCAGATAAACCTTTGTTAGGAATTTCAACAAAGAAATGACGTCCTGTTAGTCGTGAATGAATTGGAGCTAAATATGAATGTTTCTGAACTTCAAGATTGAATAATCTTCTAACTACTTCTATACGGAACTCTGGAAAAGAAAGTTTTTTTTCTACTTTTTGATTGTACAATACGTGAGCGTTTGCCAATGCCAAATCCACTAAATGAAAAAATAATTTTCGATACCATTTCATAGTTTTTCTAATGGTTTCTGTTATAGGTACCTGCTTATCTATATTATCGATCCTTCTCATATTTTTATTATACTCACAAATACAGAGTAGTTTCACGATATCTTCTTTAGTTCGCCAATGTTTTTTACCAGTAGGGCTAAATCTAACTTCATGGACTGTTGTGATCATGTAAACTTCTCTTTTGTCTATCCATTTCATTACTAACTAGACGTCATTGTGTGCGACCTGAATCTCACCTGTATTTAGTTTATTCTCTACCCTTGGCATAAATTTCCTATTCTTCTTCACAGTTCCACAGATTCCTGTGTCACGGTCATGTAGAAATTCGGTTAATCCTGGAGATAAATACCAATTATCCATATAAATGACGTGACCTTTGTTAAAAAAAGTTTTTAGGAAATAAGCTACAATGTCACCAGTAATACCCACACCAAACTTTTCGTAATTGGTATCTGACTCTGTATATACAATGAAATCTATCAAAAATCCAGTTTTACAATCAACTAGTTCAAACAATTTGATACCAAAACGATGTTGTTTCAACGGTAAAAATTGTTTAAAGTACAGCTTCTTTTTCCATAAAACTAAACTTTCGTCAATACAAAGATTCTGTCCTGGTAATATAGAATTTGAAAATTTTTCTCTTAGATCGTCAATTACAGGTTTCAATTTTTTGAGAGGATGATTCACTATTTCTTCGTTGTTTGAAAAATGCAAAAATCGCAAGATTTGGAGATATCTATTTCGACGCATGATCTTTCTAAAAATTGGAGTTTTCAACAGAGGATCTGTGCTCCAATAATTTTGAATTGCACCTTTTTGAACGAGTCCCATATTGATTGTTGTTCCAAGAAAAAACCGTAATTCATCAACTGTAAGAGGTTCCCAGGACTTCATATTTTTTCGCGGGCCTTCAGAGTTTTGTTCCTGATATGGATTTGTTTGTGCCGTTATTATTTCTAAAAGATTTAAATTGGAAAAAATTTTGAAGTAGCACAATGGAGTATCATCTGGAACAGTAATAGTACTCTGAATACCAGGTGAACCTGTAAAATTTTTTATGGTAGGATAAAATAATATAATTATAGATAACATCAGGATTATCTTCATCAATATCAATAAGTAAGTCATCATCTACAGCTTCAGATACACCGGTCATATTATGTTTATTATCGGATTTTTCTACTTCTGATTCGCCACTGCTAAAGTCTACAGTTTCAACATCCATTATAATTATCTAGTTGAGAAAATCGAAAAAAACTAGATAAAAAAAAAAGTATCACGAGAAAATAAAGAGTAATGAGAGCAACACATATATATCTAATACAGAGTTTTGCGATAAGGTGGTGGCCTCTCTACATATAAGGTCATGGGCACAATCTTATCATGGGTTAAACTTGATGGGTTGCCACCTGGTGAGAGAAATCGAAACTAAGCATAGGATTATAATGTGTACCGAGTCCTTAGTCAATTGTAAAATACTGAGCACGTAACATTCAGGGGCAAAATATGTATGCGCGCGCGCGCGCGTATGTACGTGTGTGTGGAGGAGGGAGTGTTTGTGTGTACATATACTATATATAAGTACTTATACATATTTATATATACTTCTTGTGGAAGTTTATGCATGTTTTAATAGGCTGCTCAACAGCGTCTATATATAGACGCTCCGGCAACGTAAAGGTTAAGGTTATGATTACTGAAATTTAAATAATATTTTACAAGATATTTTACAGTTTGTGTCAAAAAATTGTTAACTTCAAACCTTTATAACTCAAAAAGTACTTAATAAAACAATGTTTTATTATAGTGTTTTGAAAAGCTCTGGAGATAAGCTATAAAAATATGCAATAAAATGTAGGAGATTCCATTAAAAAAAATAAGGTTGACCTTGAAATGACCTTAAAAGACATGGTCAAGATCAAAGTTAAGGTCATCATCTCACTCCTCGCTTGAAACCATACAACTTTGCTATTGGACATTTTCTTTAAAATGCATTTTAACTGAAGATATTAAGGGAGTCTGATACTTTTCGATGACCTTGTATGTACACGATAAGGTGTTTGCGATGGCAAACATTCAACACACTCTTATCGCAACAAACAGCAACCAATAAACGTATGTGTTACTGTTACAGGATCAATTGACGAGTTGTAAGAATGTTCAAGGTCATTACGTTTGCAATAACGTAATGACACTTTATAAGGTGCAGGCGAGTTCTCCATGTGAAATGTAAGCGTACGTGTATGAGTTTAACAATTATTTAAATTATAAGACGTGACATATGTAACAAATCACACCATTTGGATTTAGTCAAAACAGGAGCGTGCGTGGCTATTTAAGATTGGGCGTAGAGTCCATATCCTTTAAGTGCTTAAAAAAGAGACCCGACAGAAGTCTTGACGAGGATTGGCGAGGTTGTGTTGTTACATCAATGTGGGTTTTCAATCAAAGATATTTTTGTTAATACTAAAACAGTTGTAGAACCAGAGACGTGCATTATTTGAAATGGATGCATTTAAACTAAAAATGCAAAATGTAAAATGCCTATTTTTTATTTTAATTTAAAATGGTTTTTTAAAACCTAGTTCACCATTCTATTTAAATAGTTTTTATTATCCATTTTCTATTTCAAATACAATTTTCTCGTAAAAATTAATTGAGATACAGTCAACCTTCTATTTTTGTTTCCTATGTATTTGTTTGTTTCCCTTTCACATACAAAGGCTGCATTTTGATATTCACTGTCAGTACTAAAAATCCATACTTTTTATTATATGTACTATACATTTGCACTATTGGCAGTAAATATCAGAACGTAGCCAAACTAACATACATAAATACTTCTTTTACTACGCTTTTTATCTTTAACGTAACAAACTCAAAATGTTGCTAAAGTTTTGCTGTGTTCACAGTGATAATACAATATGATTGGTAGAGAGATAAAATTAGTAAGAATAGCGAGGACACTTTATATGTGCATGATTTTAAATTTCATTGCCTACAGTCTTAAACAGTAACAAAATTAGAGTTTGATTATCGATATATGTACCACGCAGTGATGCTACTGGTACCATGGTTTAGAGAATACAATAGTTACACAACGGTTGAGAGATAATCACTTATGATTGGATACTTGTGGAACCATCATAAGTTTTGAGGAATAGTCCTATCATAAGTTGAGTTTTTTTAACATAACCAATCTGACATTACTAACATGGAAATATACGTAAGCGTACTAAAACCTTTATTGATTAATATACATTGACTTTATACAGTGTAGTTCGGCGTTGTGTAAGAAGCTTTGTAATAGTTTGTTTGTGTATAAATGCCATAAAAAATGTAAGTATTATGTATTATATTATTATTACTCTTATTCTAATAAGGCAATGTTAAAGTTGATATTGAGAGTACGTTACTTTGTAAGCTTATGAATTTCTAATGTACTTTTTTAGGAATAAAAATTTACCACTTTGTGTATATTGATACACTTTGTGTATACCACTTTGTGTATATATACATATATATATTGTGACGTGGTATTCGCGCCGCTCTTTCCCCGTCACAAAAGTTAAAAGATTTCGCGGGAGCCCGGGAAAACGAGCTGAAAAACGAGCGCCAAGATCCTCCAGGGCTTGCTGAATCCGCATAGATTAGTATTTTATTTTTACTTTTTGTATTATATGTAATTTCGGCGCTTTACCGTCATGAAAACATCGAGGGACCTTTCGTCAAGGACAACGGCGGTGCCTGAACGAGAGAGAGAGAGAGAGAAAGAGAGGAACCGAGGCGCGAAGTCTCACTTCCAGGTCACGTGGAGAGCCAAGGTAGGTGACTGCAGACAGAGGCCACAGCGGAACCTCGGCGCTTTAGCCTAGCGGAACGGGCGGAACGGCGGAACGAACCATCAACGAGCCGGCCTACGCTGAGACGTGCGGTGTTCCTGCCATCCTGCTGCAGGGTTTCAAGGACCCGCTGCTTATTTCATGGCTGCATCTCCTGGATTGCTATCCCGCCCCGCTGCTTGCTGCTTTACTTATGCTGCTGTAAACTAGTTATAGACACTGTGAGCGTTCAAATTTCACGGCCCGCTGATCCTGCCGCCTGCGAGCGAGCTAGCGAGCCGCGCCGCTAATCCTGCGACCTGATTGGCCCCGCGACCTACCCCACGCGACCTTAGCGCTACTCGGGTATCGACCGCTAATCGAACGAAATCTCTTTGCTCTTGGTCGCGAACAGCTGTGCGAGACACACGCATATTTTTGGGCTCCCGTACGTACGCGAATCTTCCGTGCCGTTGAGATAGTCTGCCGTGCCGGATTCCGTTCTGAGACTGCGCAAGAGCTACACCTCCCGCGTATTCCAGTCCTGTGTTTTTGATTTCCTATACCCTGTTCTGAGTTACAAAACGTGGCGAAAATAGCTGGAATTTTTACTTCGTAAGTAAACTCTGAGCTCTGGAACTCAAGTTCCCTGCTAAATCTGTCGTTTTCACGACAAACGCGACCTTGTGGTCTGGCGACCGGTAGATTTCGTCTGAGGACGCCATCTTGCATTTCTTTCAAAGTAAAATTGAAAAAGTTTGCGTGGTTGAAATTTGTAGTAAGGTTCAACTACTCTTCAAACTTTAGTCGCGAACCAGTGTTGTGCAATTTGGACACAGTTAAACACGTGCGTGTTGTGACTACGAGAATGACCGAAGAAACGGTCGACGTAGATATGTCTGTGGCGGATTTCCCGCCAGGGAAAGACATAACCCCCTCTCTTAAAGGCCAGGCCTCTGCGCCTGGCGCAGAACTTGACGGGGATCGTGAAGTACGCAGAGCGTCCCAGGCTGGTTCCTCTCCCTGCTCTTCGACCTCCACCGGGCCGGTGGGGGCACGATTCTCGAGGAAAAAGGACGGCGTCGGTCCGTCCCCCTCCCCTCAAACGTACTTTTTCGGCCATGTCCAGTGTTCTGAGACAACTGGTACTCAATCGATACCACAGGGACTCCAGGGGCCCTTTCATGGTGCACGTAGAGACGTGCCGTCCGTTGTCCTCCTCTACTGGAGGAGACAGCCACGAAAACGTAAAGGGTCCGGATGCAGGTAATAAAAAGGGAACCTCGCTCAGCGCCATTGGCCTGGGCAAGAGGCTCAACCGTCTTCTTTTAAGTCAGTTTCAACGTGCTTTTGACTTGCGTGTGATCGGTAGAAATAAGTTTTCTGTNTGCTTCCCCACAGGCGAAGACGCAAATCGATTTGTTGAGGCCTTCAGGGATGTTGCTGATAAGATTACCCCCTGCGAACAGTGGACAGCGCATGTCCCATCGTTTAGGGTGGTCAAGCAGTTTGTGCTGAAGGGCGTTGACGAGGAGGAAACCGTGGAAGAATTGTTGGCCGGTCTCCGCCCCCCCCCCCGGGTGGGGTCAGGAGTGGGTTCCTCCTTTCGAGGCCGTTAGAATNACTCGTAGAGAAAAGGATAGCGCTACCTCTAGTCCTAGGTACGTAAGTACNAACCAACTTATCTTGAGGTTCCGCACTCCGGTGGTACCTCCGTCCTGTCTATATGTTGGAAAACGTCTTCCTTTAACCCCTTATGTTTATAAGGTTAGACGGTGTGATTTCTGCCAAAGGTTTGGGCACACAGTCCACTCTTGCAAACAGTCGGGAGATGAAAAACGCAGGTTCTGCGAAAAGTGTGGCAAGTCGGGCCACTCTAAACCAAAATGTCCAAATGTCCTGGACGAATGCGTAAATTGTATCCGTTTCAAGACCGGTAGTACCAACCACCAGTCTTCTGAACTCCGCTGCCTTGTTTTTCAGGGGCGGGTTCCGTTTGACCACAGTACGATTCGACACCGCTCGATTCGACACAGATTTATTCGACACCAAATTATTCGACACCGTACGATTCG